AAAAAGTCGAAGCGAACAATTGACACGCGATAATCATTAATGGCCATAGGAGTTATGAGTTTGTGTGTGTTGGCATAATTTGCGTCATTACGCATACGCCAGATGTGCCTCGTAATGGGCACATGAAACGAGATTAAAATTGAACAAACAAATAAGCAAAACAAAATACCCAAATCCAAACTCGAACTCAAGCTCCAACAGCCAACACCGAAAATGTGTGAAAAAAAAGGGGAAACATGTCGCAAACAGCAACAACAACCAATAAAATGAGAACAACAACAGCAACAACCACCACAATAATAACAACCACAACAAATGCCACAGCTGACCACTGAGACCGCAGAGCAGAGAATCCACGGTGGCGACAATGCGACCACCACCGAAGTGCTCTTTAAATTCACTTAATTATGGAACACACACGAAGCGCATACCTAAAAAAAAAAACAACAACAAAACAAAAATAAAATAAAATAAAAAAAACAGCGTAGCAAACGTTGCAATCGATCCACACACAATGATCCAAGTGTCCTCGCAAATCATAAATAAAAGCTGGCCTCAACTTGCAGCTAAACCGGAGACGGAGCTGGAAAAGGAGAGCGACTCGGCGGAGAGAGAGAGAGAGAGAGGCTGGTGAGGAAGACTGCAGAGGGGAGGCCGGAGAGCAAGACTGCAGCTTGGTCAGTCTTCAACAAACGCCGCTGGTAATTGCAAATCCACAAGCCATCTATATATGTAGGTACTGTGACTTATACTTCAAATAACTACAACTAAATTTAATCGTAATTAGATTGAGACGACTTTGGATGTAATTTGTTGAAATATTTGTTAATGATCTGTGTGTAGATTGCAACTGCTTTACAGGTTGTGTGAAGTAATAAGCTTGAGCATGGATTACGGGTAAAAAAAATATACTATTGAGTATCTCAAATTTAAATGATGTATATCTTAAACTTCGTAGTTCGAAATACCTTAAAATATTTTATTATTTTAATATATTACAAATATAGAAGAATACTTTTACTTGTCCTTTATTAAAAAAGCATTAAAAAAGGAAAGACTGTTTATATTTACATCCAAAAATTACAAATTTGACTATCTAAGGACAATAAATTGTTTTTTAATGCTAAATAAACGCTAATTAAATTCACTTTATTGATATTTAATTAGATATTTATTCAACTCAATCAAACGTGAATTTCAATTACATTCCAAAAAATATCATCAGATGCAACTTTTATTCATTATTTTATTCGATCTATTTTTGAAAAAGTGTAGAAATGTAGAAAATAAAATAAATAAACTTCTGCCAATCTATTAATCATTCCTCAGTTAATATTTTTGTGATATCGATGGGAATATCACATCAAGTTAGAAGTAGATTTGATTTTTGTAATCGTTTATGAATTACGATTAGTGTTCGTTACTTTTGCCCCACTGTGCGATCTTATAGAGCATTGTGTGCACAATTTCGGCATCTGTAAAGCTCGCTGGCTGGCTGAGAACTGGCGATCGTTGCATGAATAACAGAAATTCATCAATAAAACATGTGGAAACCAAACCAGCTACTGACTGACTCCTTATTGTTGTTGTTGTTGTTGGTGGCAGCTCTCTCACGGCACACGTTCGAGCGTCATGCAAGTGGCATGAACAACAGCAACAGCAACAGCAACAGTAGCAACAACTGGGAGGGCGATGTGTTTGGCGTTTTGTCTGCCCGGTTGTTGTTGTCATATGTATCAGTTTTTGGCTTAGCCAACTGAAGCCAAACCGAGCAACGAGCCACTTTGAAATGCAAGCGACTGTTGGCCACAGTCGGAATTTTCAATCAGTTCCAATTGTTGCGCGCTCAGTGACAAGTTTCAGGCAATGATCGTTGTTGCTGTTGTTTGCTGGCTGAGTGGCAAAATGTGCGGGACCCCCAGCCAAGTTAGCGCTTTAGGCCATGTCGGCTGTGCCACAAAATTTAGTTGCGACCACATAGATTATCCGCAAAGGCAGAACGAGGCACACACAGTTGGCGGCATGATCTACTGCAAGGCATACATATCAATGAGAAGGGAGAAGGCAGGAGCGGCAACAGGAGCTGCAACAGGATGAGCAAAACTCAAATCTGTGATCCATGCCGCCCCATGCTCTGATTGGGGAAGCTGTGATTGATATGCGCCTCTCAAGCTGTAGCTGCAGTTCTGATTCTGATTCTGATTCGGATGAGGATTCTCTGCCCATTGCCGACAAAAGTTACAGCCCAACTGACAAATGCGACATGTGCCGAGTGTCCAGCTAGCGAAGCTCGATCTTGTTGGGAATGTGCTGCGGCGGGATTAACCAATTTGGTCTTGCCAGTTTGCCAGCTTGCCAGTTTGCCAGTTTGCCGGTTGGCTAACAAGGCGTTCGCATTGCGCAAATAAACAGGCGAAAAATGAATTAATAATCGTAAATATCAAGCGCAAAGTGTCGCGCCTCCGCACGTGGATATCAGCCCAGTTTAGATCGGTTGGGATGTTGGGACTGACCAGTCTGCTGGCTAGTTGCCACACAATAACTGTTCTTGCAACGGATCGGATGGCGTTGTGGAGCACGTAGCGTGCTGCAAAACACGCTCAGCAATTTTAACAAGATCATAAATGTGAGAAGCTCTGATCTTGCCGAACCAATTGAATGCGGCCAGAAAAAAACTGTGTATTTTGCACTGATTCAAGTACACTGCACAAAAACTATGATTGATTTGACATGGTTACGAATTTAGAAAAGTAAACTTCAGTTGAAGAACTCTTGACTTACATTTCAAAAATGTTTAAGTAAATAAAGCAGTACAATTTCTGAAAACCAAAATGAATTTACTAAATTCCAAATAAAAAGTTAATTTTTCTAATAATTATTTTACAATAATTGAAAAATTATTCCATTTTTTGTGTATTTATTGTAAAAATAAGAATCTATTTCTTTGCTGAGTGCACAACTAACTTGGCTAGGCAGTTGCTGCAATAGATTTCCTAATTTGCAAACTGAAACCGAAGCAGAATCTGTCTCTCTCTTTTTCTCCCTCTCTCTCCATCTCGTTCTCCTTCTCGCACATTAAGTAGACAACATAACTCAAAATACCACGAGAAGCAATCAATTAAATTTAATTATGACACCAATTATGGTCTGATTGCCAGTAACAAGCCAAGGCATAAATGAGTCCATCTCCAACTCCAACTCCGACTCCGACTCCGACTCTCGTCTAAGTCTTTTGGTCTTGGCTTCCCTTGTAGCAAAGTAATATGTAATAGAATCATTAAGTCACTTGTATTTGCTATTGTGTTTGTTGCTGTTAGTTGGCTGGTGGCTCGAGGCCAGTTGGTATTTAACTGCAGTTTTCGCAGAATACCACCATCGTTGGTAACGACTTTACCATATACAAATCTGGCCAAAAGAAAAATAGTTTTAAACACCCGTTTCTTGATCCAATCGAAGGGACCACCGCAGCTCGTGATAATCAATGATGGTCCACTAGTAATGATAATGATGTTGTTTTGCCATCCAACCACTCGATCTTTATCTGCATAAGGTGCGATTCAATCGGCAATCGTGGAAATCGTTTCACAAGTCTGTGGCTTGGCCCCAGCTGACCAATAAGGCATTCGAATTATTCACGGGTAACACGATTATGCAAAAATGTTCAACAATAGATTGGACATGTAGTATTTAAGAAATGCAACTTGGCTGGATTCAAATCAATTTAGTTCAATTGAGGTGAAAATGTACTCAATTTAAAAACTGGCTTAAGTGATAATTATGCATTTCAACTGTTGAATGAGTTTTGTTTCTAAGTAGATATATAACTATAGATATATAATCACTAGGAAATAGTTAGTTCAGTCTGATTAATAAGCAATTATCTATTTGAATTCTTATACTCAGCTGCAGCTTCCCAAATGTCTTTCTCAGCTTAAATCAATTTTCTTGCTTGATTTTATTCACATCCCAAATGCTATTCAAAACAGTTTTTCCATCACAATGCGAAAGTTAAATGTATTGTTTAATAAATGAAGTATAACCCTCAATGCAGTCTCAATAAATTAAGCTCTTGTTCTTTGAGAAGTACTCACTTTACTTGCTCACTCGCACACTATTATCCAAAAACATTCACAGGACCCTAAATAATTTGAATGAAATGTATATTCTTGAGTCTTAATCTCGGCCCCCTTTTGCCCGCCTACTGTGGCCACTTATATATAAATGTATTATTTTTTTTGTGCTGTGTGCAAACAATTTGTGTTTCTCTCTAATAATATTTCCGAAGCCAATTAGAAGCGACGCACTCCCGGCTGGAGGTCTGCCGGTCTTTCTGACAGGGAAGTGGCTGTGGCAGCCGCAAGGATGTGCATACAATTAACATAATTCGCCTGACACGTGACAGGCACAGGCACAGGCGGGGGGAGGAGCGTCAAAATCGAAGGGTGTGGGGGTTGGGTGTCAGATTGCCTTGTGCGAGTGCTGCACTCGTCTCAATTTACAATTTACAATTCCAACAATTCACAATTTATGAAAATAGAATTTGCGTTTGCCATTTTTGATGAACTTTGTATTTATTATATATATTTTTTTTTTGGCTTGCTATGAGCTTCAACGCTTTTCCTACAACATAAGAGAGAGGGAAGGAACTAAAGAGACAGAGACAGAGGGAGATTGAGAGGGAGAGAGAGCGTGTGCTGCCAGAGCTCAAACTGTCATATGTCCCTGTTGCTGTCTGGCCCTGGTCCTGGTCCTGGCCATGTTGCCGCATCATGTTTTATATTGCAGTTGATAATAATGCCAATAAATCAACGATACGCATACAAGCCGCAAAACAGGCACAAATAAAAAGCGCACACAGCGACGATGATGAAAAGCAGCTTAAAATGTCATCTTTTGTGCTATGGCACATCAGTTTGGAGTTGCAAACGATACATGTATATATATATATATATACATCTATATATATGTGGATTTATATATTTTGATATGCGGCTACTTACCGATCAATGATGACGGGGTCCGATGGCGTCTCGTTGCGGTTACCACAGCTCTTCTTATCACAGCAGCGGCTGCAGTTAAATTAAGTACAAAGAAAATCAATTGGTTAGAAAACTTCAAGTAACTGTTGTTTGTTGCCACTTAAAGCTAACAGCGAAAAATGCGAAAAACATTCAAATATATGAAATGAAAAAAATTATATATATTCGATTTGTGAAATGCTAAAAGTTATTCAAGGAAATAAATATTGATTGGCTTTAAATATGAATTAAATAAATTGCGAGCCTTTTTTTTTAATTTAAATATTTTTAAGCAGATATTTATTTTAAAAAAAGTCGGATATAATTAAGTATATATGTTTTTAATAAGTCTAAAATCTTCTTTAGATATTTATTATTAAAAAAGAATAGACAGTTGATAACATATATTGAATATATATTTTGTAATAATTAATATGAAAATTATGCATTTGATTCGGCCATATTTTTTTTAGTAATGCATTTGGCTTTTATTTCTGGGCAAACACACACACACACACAAATATAAATGCACACGCATTGAGTTCAATGGCTGCGTAATTTTTTTTTGGTCGCACAGCCTCCGGGGCAGAAATGATATTTAAGGGTATGGGGCTTAGGGGATGGGAGATGGGGGATGGGGGATGGGGGATGGCGGGTTGTTGTTCTGTTCGTTCAAGGGGTGGCACACTAACTGGGTGGCTTTAGCTAAAGCTTGAGCTTTGGCATCGTCCTGTGCGCAACATAAACATGGATGACTAAAATGGGCGAAATGCCAAACGATAAAGAAGATGCCATTGTCGCTGCCAGCAATGACTGCGACGTCGACTGCGACTGCGACTGTGACTGCGACAGAGACGCCAAGAGTTAACGCCGGTCGCCATTGTATTTGTATTTGCTTTGTGTTACGCGAAGCTGTTGATTTTTGCTGCTTTCTTAGCCAAGCCGAAAGCTAAGGCCAGCAGCAGGACCAGCACAGGAGGCACGGGGCAAAGGAGGAGAGCCAAAGTCAACCCCTGTGCGTTGTCCCCTTGTTTTGATAATGCTACGCAAACATAAAAACTGGGTGCCAATCCGAAATAATAAAAGATGGCCGGCCAACGCGCACCCTGAAGCTGCAGCTGAATGGAGTTGCCTCGTCTGGGCGGGGTAGTGGAGGGGAGGGGGGGGGGGGATGTGGACTGGCTAACGGGGACGAATCTGCGTAATTTTTTTTTTGGTTGTTTGTTTCTGCTTTTGCTGTGCCGTTTTTTTTATACCCATTTGCTTTGTGGGAGGATTAATGCGGGTATATCCCGCCAAGAAATGAAACTGAACTCAAATTAAGCAGTGAATAATTTTCAAAAAAATGTCTTTGAAATATGCAAACTATTTATTATAAAATGAACAAATGTTGAGGAAATTGTAAGGCACTTAACAACTTTGAATTTGACAGGAAAACGTATTTCCAAATTTAAATAAAAGTCAAACAATGCTGCTAAAGAATGATTTAAGTTAAGGCATTGAAAAATTATAGAAAATTACCCAAATATTGAAAATGTATTTGTATGTTGTTTAAAATATTTATTTTTGTGTAACCAAATATTCCGCCTAAGGCTTATAGCTTTCTAGGGTATATTCAAGTCAGTTAGTAGGAAATAGATTTTCATTTGTGTTATTTCGAGTCAACCTTCAACTGACAGCCTACGTTTTGGGCGCTAGAAGGGTGAACTGCCCAGAGATATGATGATGCTAGATGGCAATAGATGTGGAAGTGAGAGAAAGAGAGAGAGAGAGAGAAAGAAAGAGAGAGGGGGGGGGGGGAAGATGCTGAGAGGGAGAGAGAGAGAGAGAGGGTCTTGGTGAGTGGCTGCCATTTATACGTTTCAGCTCGCGTGCGCTTGAGCGTAAAAATAAAACGAAGGCAGCATGAACTGGACAGACAGCAAAGTATAGAAGAAAGGGGGCGGAGTGGTGTGGGGAAAATAGAATAAAATAGGAAAAAATGGGAATAGCGATGGACATCAAGGACGGGCCAGGAGGTAAACTAAAAAATCAACAATATTAAAGCAGAAGCGCTCACAACAGCTCAAACCAAAAACAGAGAAACAAAATTGAGAAAGAAAAAAAGAAACAAACAAAAGATGCGTAGTTGAAAAATCAGGCGGAAAACGCTTAAAAAAAGAAAAACAACAAATGAGCGTAGCTGCCAATTGCGGAACGGAGCCAGAGAACTTCTCAAGCAAACAATTTGAGTTTGAGTGAGTGAGTGGCTTGGAGCAAAGCTCACAAGCCAAATATATATGTATAAATACTTAGGCAAAGCCCCCGGGGAGTCAACTGGGACAAGGGAGTCGAAAGGTGTGGATTACAAGAGTAAGACAAGACAGATAGAACGAACCACAGCAGGAAGTATGAAGTGAATGCATTCGAAATCATTTGTAGATTATTAACGGAATACCCTTGATTTTTTTTGATTTTGGTTGAAACTCACCTGCACATCACCTCGTGCGTCAACAGGACACGGCACATCTCGGGATTCTTGTCCTGGCCCTCGTAGATGATGGCCTGCAATGAGGAGAAAATCGTGCACAAATTGTAAGTAATTGCTTATTAGATACTCTTGGCATGTGCCAAAACTCTCATGTCTCACCTACTTATGCGAGAGCTTATGCCAACAGTGGGCGGGGAGCGAAAGGTGAATCTGATTAAGGAGGGTATTCATAGGCAGGTGTGGAGCTATTTATTTGCTCAACTAGATAACATACATATCAGGATTTGCCTATTGACATCAGGAATTGAGACTGATTAGTAGCTATTGATATCAGGAATTGAGAGTAAGCCGACTGATTAGTTTCTATTTCCAGCAAAGAAATGTAGCCAAAACATAGTCGATGCTTTGTAACTGATTTCTTTTATTCAGTGTCTAATTTAGCTGGCTGAATATTCTTTCATTTATTATAAGTTTTCAAGCTAATAAGAATTTACAATAGAGATTGTTTCATCAAATATTTTGAGTTCTGGCAGTGGAAAATTGGCTATTTGTTGAGTTGAATATTTAGAAATTTCAAGATTTAAATGCACGATTAAGAAGAGCTTGCCTTTAAACATGTATTAAATTTTGCTCAAGTTATGTCATTGTGAAACTTAAATCCAGTCCAAAAGTTCGAATTTGCCTCAGAATCAGTTAAGCATTTAATAGCAGCTCTAATTTTATTGATTAACTGAAATGCTTGCTCACCTCTGTTGATTATATCTATCTATGTCTAACTCATTCCCAGTCTGCCCCAAAAAAGTGAACCTGTTATCTACCCCAGCCACTGCCCCATCAGAAGCACCCACACTGCCCCTCTCTCAACTCAAGTGGCACAGGTCAAATAGACACACACATAAATGCTAATTACAGTGCAACTACTCGAGAGCTGCGAGTTGGTCAGAAGGTCGCGACATATGGGATATATATACATATATACATATATACAGGCTACATACACTGCAAATATTTACACACTCGAAGCGAAGACCTCAAATTTTGGCTAATAATAACTGGGTGGTATTTGTATTTATTTAGGCGGAAAAAAAACACACACAGTGAGAGGGGCAAAACATTTTAGTGTCAGTGGCAGTGGCAGTGGCAGTCAGACTACACAGAAAGAAAAAATAATGAAAATCCTGCCATGTGCGGTGCACACGCACTTCAAGAGGGGGGCGGGGGCGGATTGGTGACCGCAAGTGCAACTCACTCTTGTCAGACAATCTGCTGCAATTTCCAGCAGGATGCTATAGCTGGAAGGGGATTTGAGTTGGGTTGGGTGCTGCTTCTCCCTTTCTCTCTCTCTCTCTCTGTCTCTGTCTCGAGTGTGTTGTGTGTCTGCGCCTTCGGCCAAACACAAACAAATAGATAAACAAATGCGAGGCAAGAAGCAACCACTGCAAAATGAATTGGCCCCGGAGCAGGAGCAGTGGGCAAAAATAAAAAGGCGCATAGTTCTCTAATTTAAAAATGATTAAAGCGGGTTGCTGCGTCTCCCCTGTTCCTGTCCTTGTGTAATCCAACACTCATCCAATGAATTAGTTGGGCCAAAAACACAGCATATGCGACAAGGGGGAGGAGTGGATGGTACTCGGGGAGTGGCTCATTCATCACTATCAGCGTCCTTGCAGCCGTAAAAATGCATACACGCAAAAGTAATAACAATAACTACCTAGATGGTTGAGCAGTGGAGAGGAGTGTACATATTTCATCCACCAGCGAATGCTGCCACTTGCCACTTGCGTCAAGGACGAGTGCGTCCCTGTGACGTCATCAGCATATGTGCATTGTTTTTGGTTGTCTCTAGCTGCGACTGAGACTCATCCCGGCCAGCCTCAAACAGATAATCAGAAATTAATTTCACTGCAACCAGTCAGGCAGGCTGGCGGGCACTGTTGCCCATTCCAACCCACTCCTGTCCACCCCCCTGCTGTGTTAAGGTAGCACATGTAAAATTATGATCATCCCTTATTATCCCGTTTGTTAGGTTAATAATTCTTCCCATCTCCCCATCACACCAAAAAAAAAAACAACATTAACAGCCTTGCCCTTAACAAAAGGATGCTCTCTAAGTCCTGGGATAACAACAACTATAAGGCAAAGGATAACATACAACCAACAGCCTAACGGGCTCAATGCCAAATACTAGTTGCCGGTTACCAATTACCAGCTTGGGCTTTTGCCCCTGCTTTTTGTGGGACAAGCAAGTGCAGCTAATTATAGAGCTGGCTCAAATCCAAATCCAAGCCCTGAAACGAAACTCATCCTTCGTCAAGGATAGATTTTTGTTTGTTTTTGGGACAAATGTGAGTGTTTGTTGTTCTTCTTCTTCTCGTTGTTGTTTTATGCGTCCTTCTAATGGACTTTCAATGTTTTTGCAAATACATTTTTTATACTTGTATTTTAATATTAACATTAGATTTTATTGAATAGATGTGGACAGTTGGATGCTGGACAGTTGGGCAACTGGACTAGTGATGAAAGGAGATTATCAATGTAAATCCCATACATACCTAAAATATATACATGTATTTATCATTAAAGTATTTCCAGTAGTCAAGATAGTTTCAGTTCAAAGCCAATTCGAAGAATTAAAAAATGTTTACCAATTTGATTTCGGACTTATAAAAAGGTTTCAATTTAGTTTTGGAATAGTTATCTTAGGCACAAGTCATAATTGGTATAACAGTATTAATCATTTGCTATTTTGTATACTATATTTAAATATACTTATTATCTTAAAAAAAGAAGAAGTAATTTCTTGTTATGTGTAATCAGCTATTCCTCAATTAATAAAACAATAAATATCGCCAGGCATCAAATTTCAACTGTGGTCCATTGGAAAATACACAAACATTTGGCTTGAGCTTGTAGCTGTGGCAACAAAGCCATCAATCATTGTGGCGATTGGAGCACTGAAACAATTAGTGCGGCTAGAAATCTGGAGAAAATCTGACTGGCAAAGTGCCGCTAAATGGTGCATCTAATAAAAAACTAAACGGATGAACACTAAAACGGGAGTAAAAGCGTTTAAACTACGATTTATCATCCCGGCTGCTCTGGTCTGGTCTGGTCTGTCCAGCTGGCAACCAGCCAGCGCAGGAGTAAAACCCAAACAGGATAACAGTAAAAAAAAAAAGAAATAGCCAACAAAAATCAACAGACAACAAGAGAAAAAAAAAAAGGAGAGAAAACTCGAGTGATGATGTGACGAGTGGAGTGGAAATGGGAAAAGGGGAGTTGCAGCTGAACATGATGATGAAAGTGGCGACTGACGAGTTGCCAATCGACAGTGGCCGTTAAAATTTAAACGCTGTGCATCAAAATGTTGCAAACATGACGCGCTTAAATGCTTTGTTTGTAATTCTCTTGGTCGTTGTTGCTTTTTATTTTGTTTCTGTTGCGCAAATTGTTATTATCGCTTTTTAAATAAAAAGCGCAGCGGCTTTTGCATTATTCACGCACTTGCAGCCTGCATATTTAACGTGCAAAATAAAAATCTCGCCAAACAAGATAAATTATCGCAGGCAAGCACTGTAAAAAAAAAACACCCAGTGTAAAGCGCAAAATATAAAAAACACATTGTGTGTATATGCATCGAGGGTTACTCTTAATTTATTAAAGCGCCATTTATCAGCGCCGGTTTCGGTACTGGGGTACCGCATAAATTCCAGGACCCAGCAACCCGACAGGCACAACAAAATACAAATAAAAACAAGCCCTGAAAAAGGATTCGGCTGAAGTAACCATCTGCATCCACACACTGCTTCAACGCTTTCTTTTCAAGTGCTTTAAATACGAGTATAAAACGAGTAAGTATCCATAATATTATTGTAATAAATAATTATTTAGATAAATAGATTTTGAACTCACAAAAGCTAACAGAACATTTTTGAATGTTTTAGTTATAGAAAATATTCAAATTCTGAATACTGAATGAATTCTGGCTGATATAGTTTTGTTTCAATTTGATGTCAGCATTAGTTTAGAGCTGTAGTACCTGGAGTGAATAATAAATAGCCAACTTTAAGTTCTCGAGTGCTTTATTAAAGAAATATTTATGTATTGGATAGGTAAGAATTTTAAAATGTTTTCAAAAGGACAAATTCGCGTTTCCCAACTGAAATTCAAAGGTCTGAGTGTTTAGGGGTGCAGAGATTACATATATAATATGTAAGTGATATTTAAACACACACACACACACATGTACAAACAACTGCTACAGATACGCAAATTTGCATAATGAGGGCGATATGAAGTGCAGCTTTTTTTTGCTTCAGCAGAGTCGACCGCAGAAATGGAAATGCACTTGCCGTGAAAGCATTTTTAATCGCATTGCACAACACACACACACACATATACACGTAAAATACTCACACACACACACTCACTTACACACATACAGAATTTACATGCCCACACACAAACAAATTAGCAGCACAGGAAATGGCGACTGTCGAGATGAAAGTGTGCAGATTTTCTGCACAATCTGTTGAATTTATTGAGTCGCCTACAGCAACATCAACAACAAGAACAACAATAACAGCAATAATAATAATAATAATAACAACAACGGCGTGCAATAAAAACAAAAAGCAATTGTGCACCGGATAAAATGGCAAAATGAAATGTGAAATGTGTTATTAATCGAAAATTTCACGCTTTATTTTTAAGTGTTGACACACAAATTAATATTATCGCTTAATTAACACACGCACACACACACACAGTGCAAGCAGACAAAGGAGCAGCACAAGCGAGAGCGAGCCGGCTGAAGGATGGGAATGAAGAGCGAACGAGAGACAAATACCGCAATGGCGTGTGATGAATGTGTTTGTATTGGTTTTGTTGTTGTTGCTGCTGCTTTTGCATGTGTCAATAGTCAATTAGTGATGCGCAATATTACAATATGGCTGCGACAAACTCGTTTTTGCATACACCCAGAAAAGAAGAAGCGCAGTTTATGCATAAAAGTAGATCAGTGAAGATATTAATGTTTCAAGAAGGTGTTATAATAAATATAATAAATCTTGAAATTCTTTGGATAAATTATTATAGACTGTTTACACATAATTATAAAATATATAAATACATTTTTAAATACATAAATAAATATATATATATATATATATATATATATATATATATGTATATATTAATATTCAGATAGCGTTTTTCTCTGAGTGCATCGTTATCACTTATGGTAAGAGCTCATGAAATTGATAAATCTCTGTTACCAATATACACACTCAAACACTTCCGTTTAAAACATGTTCACAATTACTACTCGCAGTAACAGATACTTGCAAATACATTTAAGCGGTGACTTTGACTAGTGAAAATTCTAATATTTGCTCATCTCTAACATATTCATATGCTTTTGCACAATGGCGTCACAACTGCAGCAATAACGGCGCTTTTTAGGCAACTCATTAGTTGCTGGCTGCTGGCTGCACGCATTTTTCGGCTAGCTGCTATGCACACACACACACACACACACATAGAAACCAACATATATGCTTGCAGTACATATTGGCATCCCTCGCTTATCGGAGTGCATTAATCGCCGCCTATCGTCAATCGCCAATCGCCCCTTTGCTCTTCACCCTGCTTCGCTTTTTGGGTTTAGAATTTCGCTGCGCTTTTTTTTTTTTTTGTTGGTGCTGGCCGCATAATGCGTGTAAATCGCGATAAGCGCAACTGGCTGGGCAAACCAAAGGATTTTGGGCAGTTGTCGCAGTTGGCACTCGCTTTTGTTTTATGTGGGCATCAGGATGAGAACGAGAACGAGAACGAGGACCACGACCAGAATGCCGCGAATACGTTGTGAAATATGAGCAGCAATTGAGTCGTACTCACTCTAATCCTGGTACTCCTGATGCTCCTGATACTCCTGCTGCTCCTGCTGCTACTGCTGTTGCTATTGCTCGTTAGCTCAAATTGCAATTGCGCCGCCTTCGCTGGGCGTTATCTGATCGAATGTAATTATGATTATGACGATGATTTGCTACATTACTACTACAGCCTCTCTTGCAGCAATAAAATCACCAAATCTAGCTGGGGGCAAGGGGTTCGGCACGTGACAACTGTCCGCCCATTTTTCTGTTTTCATTGCGTTCACATCAATGCCTAAGACAATGTCTCGCCTCTCTCCTCTCTCCCTGAGAGTTGTCGCTTAATCGCATTCGGCTGCTACAGTTTTAAATTTCACTTGCGTCGTCCCTGATAAGGAGCAGTCGCTTATCCCACGAATAACGGGAATAACGCACGCCTGCCTTCCTCTTGTTTACCTGTTACGCACTGTTTGTGCTTCAGATAAAAACAGAGCAGCCAACGCCTGCCACGCGTATGCAAAAAAATGACACAAAACTGAAATGAAGGGATGACATTTTGACCAGCTCGCGTTCTACTTGAATTGTTTCATATATATGTATGTGTATAGCAGTAACTCTGTCAGCTTAAGCCCACCTAATCCGATCAAATGGTTGTTCTTTTTTTTTGTTTTTGTCGTAACTCATTCTATTTTTGACTCTTTGGCAATTGTACAACACATTTGGAACTCAACTCTGACAGACAGCTAAATGCTTTGTGAGGGGAGCTTTTTAAGGGGTAGCTACGTGCACCAAAGTTGTGGGAAAGTTTCAGAAAACCATGTTTGTTAAACAAAGTTGGCAGAAATAATTAAAATATTATGGTTTTTGCAGCTTGTTGTAATAATTAATCAGGTAATAGAATAGTTGTTATTCATTCAAAATAATTTTAAATATAATTACTTTAAACGTCGTTTATAAATCATTATTATCAAAGGCAGATACAAAGTGTGAATAAAGAAATAATACATAATAACAAGTATTTATCAGTTATTTAAAATTTATGAATTTGAGAATGCGGCTTTTATTAAATTTATTATTATTAAATAAGTTATTTCTTCAAAGTCTTTAACGAACTTTCAAGGGTATTTAAACTTCGTTACACTTCGTTACAAACTTTTGAGTTTTCTCTGCAAATATTTTAATTCCGATTGCTTTTCAATTCTGCTGTTCAAGAAAATGTTGCAAATAAATGGTTAAAGCAATGAAACACATTATTGGGTAATCAAAAGAGGAGGTTTGCTCATTAATGGAGTGTTTGTAATGCGATTTGGGTCTGTTTTTAGTTTGTTAAATATTTTGCGATTAAATTCCATTTGGCACAGACACAAAGACACACACACATAATGGATTCGCCAACATTGGTGACCGGTCTGTCTGTCCTGGGTAAGGGAAGGCTATCGATAATTTGTGGGCAAATTTATTGCGATCGGGGTGCAAAAGGAACGCCCACAATGGGCGACAAAATAATGGAATACGCTGGAAGAAAGAAAGCACGCAAAGCGAACGAGCGACAGGCGAACAAACGAGCAAAATGTCTATAAAAATTTGTCACTCGAGAAATTAATTGCCCTTGAAAAAAAAGGGGGAACAGGAGGCAGTAGGCAGTAGGCAAGGGGGCAAGGAGACAGTAGTAAAGGAGGCACGAGGCAAGAAGGCAGCGTACACGCATTAGGCTCACACAAAGCTGACATATGGTGCAGCCGTTGCTTGTGTGCCGTGCCTGCAGCAAGAAGGATAACAACGGAGCACCCACAACAAAGCGCATTAACCATGTTCAATTGGATTGGGCCCAGATCATGTCTCAGTTACACCCCTTTCGGAGGCGCGACGAAAAATGCTCGTTTGCCTGGCTGGCCTGGCGGACAGGACTAAAGGACCAGCTAGCACCGTTTGACGACTCAATTTATTGGACACACACACACGCACACACACACAGAGAGGACACACTTAATTAGCCGTGACAATCAATTTCAAATGCAACTTATGCTCGAATCAGCAAAAACTCTGAAAAACCCAATGCGAACGAGCTATGCCACTTCGAGTGCACAGCCAAGTGGAAGAAATTAGTTTTCGATTGCGTGGCAAAAAAGCATTCCGACTTAAAAAAAAAGCAGCAGCAGCAGGAGCAGTTTTCAAGAGGGGGGCTGAGGTGGGTGGCAATGAACTTTAAGTGTATTGAAATTAATCTCGATGGAAGTCAGTGTAGCAATCAAATACAGTTGTCCATTTGGTCTCTCAAAGTGATTGAATGCCTTAATTGCATGCTGCTGTCAAACTTGACAACAACTTTAACATGTGTTTGCAGATAAGGGTGTTAAAATCGCTGAATGAAAATAATTACCATTAAGTAAGTAGATAACTAAAAAATTCTTACGTTCCCTGGTTAAAACTGTGGCAGTGTCTAACATTTAAATTTTTGATTTGAAAATAGAATACAACTTTTTGATAATAAGATCTATTATAATATGGAAACGATTTCCACAAGTTCTGGCAACTAAAGACTACGATGAAGAAGGGTTTTTATTAAAATTTAACAAAGATGAGTGAAAATTAAGCTAAATTTAACATTTTACAAATTTTTACACGAAACATGTGAAGATTGAAGTAGAAGTTTATTTCTAACACTTAGAATACTATTTGTTTGAGGTTTAAGATACTTATGTGTTACATTCCTATGTTTGAGGATGATTACAAGTTAGAAATTAGTTCTTTTATGGCACTAAATCTATGTGGATGAGAGCAGAAATCCTGGTAAACTGTATTTTTTTTCTATTTTGTGTATCTAACAAACACAAATATGAAAATTCTTACTGATAAATGTTTTGTAAATATATAGCAAGGGTTTCAATAACAATTTAAACAGTTTTTGGAATATATATCTCAATTAAATGTGGAAACTTACCGCTTTGGTTACGGAATCGATGAGTCTGACAAAGATGTCCTGCTCCTGTCGGGCGCCTGTAAAGTAAGAAAAACGTTAAGTTTCTTGCGATTTTTCTCAGTTGGGTTTCCAAACTTACCATTGGCGTAGAGCAATTGTAATCGATACTGGATGCCATTGTTTGTCTTTGTCGAATCCGACTCCGAATCCTTCTCGATGAATCCAATGAAGGCCGTTCTCTCGATCTCGATGGGTTGCCCCGAGCGATCGTAAAGTGCAATCACAAAATGAAAGAAATTTGACTTGCGCAAATTGCTGGGCGGCTGCTTCTCAAAGTGGGCGCGTCCAATGCCCAAACTGCAATTAGACGAATGGAAAATTGTGTGTGTTTAAAAGCAGGTTTCCCTCTAATTATGCCATTAGGCAGCGAGAGAGGGACTGAGAGGGAGCTAGAAAGTTAGGCCTATGGCTAGAGGCAATTAGACCAACTAATATGTCTCATTGTTTTGGGACGACTCAATTACTTGACAGTGACATTTAACCAGCAGCCGGTGGTCAGTTGCCAGTTGTCAGCTACACTTAGATAAATATATGAGCAAGAATTATTAAAACAATATTTGGTTTTTTGGAAAGTATTTCTATATGACTAAGCCCCTGGAAGAACGGGTCTGCAAAGTCATAAAGAAAATTTGTGAAAGTTGTGAAAGGCATTCATTAAATTCACTTTGTATTTTTAAAAACTACCCTTAAAGAATTCTTCTAGAGCAGAATTACTTCATTAACAATATATAAATAAATGCTAAGACTTTAAAAGTAAATAAATCAAGCTTTTCATTTAGAAATGTGTCTCAGGAACAAAGACCTCAAGGTTGGGAAAGTTATCAAAATGTTTTCAAGTGTATGCAGCTAGTGACTAGTGTGTAGTGTGTATATAGTGGTTAGTGGCCAGTGTCCAGAGTCGAGTGACAGCTATCATTAAAAGCGCATAAGCAACTTCAACGTGACACAATAATCCTGATGAACAAAGGAATTAACACACAACAGCTTCAGAGAGGGGAAAAAGGAAAGCAGAAAGCAGAAAGGAGAAAGGAGATGGAGATGGAGACTTAAACAGCGACTCGTGAGTTGGCAAACAAACGACAAATGTTTATGTTATGTGGGCCAAGCACAAACACTGTAATTATAAGGCCAGGACACAAACACAAAAACACACACACAGAGCCACAGATACACAAGGACTTGAACATGGGCCAAAGGCTTGTCCTTTCCACATATGCCAAATGTCAACACACACTCCTGTGTCTCCTCCTACAGCTCCTGCTCCTGCTCCTGGTCCGGCTCCTGCTCCTGCAAACGGTGAGTGGGCTGCTCACCTTATGGCAGACTCATGTCCTGGTGTCCTGCCTGGGCCTGTCAGCGCAATTACCGGACAATGCTAACTACCGCAGGATATGCGACCCTCGGACACGGCCGAGTAGTCCTGCTGCGCTTTTCTCTCTTTCTCTCCCACTCTCTGCTTCTCTTTCGTTTCGTTTCATATGCATAACGAACAATTTAATTTAGAAAATGCTGATTTTATCAGATTTGTATTATTTATTCAGGAAATGTCAAGAAGTACACCCAATCCCCTCCATATATATACACTATCTGCTTGTCTGCAATTATATACACATTTGCCAAAGGATAATGCCTGTGGACTGGCTCAAAACTGGGTGGACTCGACGCTAATGATAGCTCCAAATGATAAATCGCTTGAAAATTATCCTACCCACACCCCGAATATATCGAATAGAAGAACTCGGACTTAATTTGGGTTACGTCAACCACAGCCAAATGATTTTGATTTGAAGCACATAACTACACTTATTATACGCAGCAGTACATTAATCAATTCCCTGAAGATTTGACTGTAATAATTGCAACTTCGACATATGGAAAAAATAGACTCTATATTGGAGTTTGAGTATTACAAATTTGAAGTACCTAATAAAAAATATTGTAATGCGATTTTTGACTTTTTGTTTTATTTAAGTGTGATTTATTGATTTGGTTTATTTTAATTTTGATTGACTTTATTGATAAATATAGAATTGAATACTTAATACTGATAAGTTTATTAAAAAGTAACTTTGTGTAATCTTTTAAGATTATTTTCATAAACTGTCATAATTAACAGAATAAATGTTTATCTAAAATTTGTTTCTCAGTCAATTTCCATTAAATTTTTCATTGAAGAACTTTTGTTTTTGATAGGATTAACTAATTTGGCAGTCGCTAAGCCAAATGTGATTACAAAATTCTCGTCTTTATGCAGTACATGAATGCAATTTCAATTTTGGCCATTTTTGCGACAACAAATGAAATTAGACAATTTGTGGCTGCTGAGGCCGAGTTGCTGAAAATCGGCCAGTGCAACAGGGACTCTGCCAGGACACAGCAGCAGACTGAACAGCAGCGAGTGGGAGTAGCAGGATTTGGAGGAAGGTAACATGCTATTCCCGTTCGATGCGATTCAAATGGCAAACACACACACACACACACACAAATGCCGAGCTCTCGACCAAAATACGACACATAACTGAATGCCAGACAGACAGACAGACAGACAGAGAGACATGTTACATTCTGGGCGAAAGGTTATTGTTATGGCGCCGTTCCAAAAAAAAAAAAAAAAACGGAAAAAAGTGAACAGCAAAATATATAAACCAACGAGCAAATAAAAAATTGCGACTCTCTGTTACTCCCCCCTCCGCCCGCTCTCCAGCAGCTACTCCCCCACACTACAATGCTTTGATGACTGGCAGGGGGTGGGGCGGGGGGAAGGGTATGGGAACTTGGGAGCTAAGCACTCGATTGTTGACTTTTCCGACTTGGTCGCCGTCATTGTCAACGTTTATATTTATTTTTTTTTGCGTTGCTTGTTGTTCCTTTGTTTGCACTTGCCGCCAATTTGCGAAAAACGTTTTGTGGCCGTTTTGCTGTTGATTTTATTATGCCAACATTTAATTGTCGGAAATCGATGCCCAGGTGACCAGAGCTGGACCAGCGTGGAAAGGACGCAGGACTCGTGGTCACGTTTTGACTATTTCGCGCACGTGAATTTCCATTTGGTGTTTTTTTTGTTGTCCTTTTGTGTTCGCATTCTGAACTCTCATCGAGTGTCCTTTAAAAAGGACACTTTATTTGCCATATATTGTTGCACCTATTTGTTGTTGTTGTTGTTGGAGAAGGAGCAGTACATTTTATGGCCATTGTTGCATTGTTTCCTCGATTGCAGTCCGCTTGCAATCTTTGTTGAAATAAATTTCAAATATTTCTGATTTATGATCGAAATTGCATGTCGCATGTTGCATGCTGCATGTCGTCTGTACTTAGTACAATATGTAACAATAGATAAATAAATAAATATATTGCCAAAATAGTCTACCTACAAAATATTGAGTACGTCGACCGATAATTGTGCAATTTATTCCATGGGCAAAGTTTTTCGCATGCTTTTGTTCAAAAAAGTTTTCGACTCACAATCAACAATAAATTTAACTTTAAGTTGAGTTTTGTGTTTATTTCTGTGGATATTGGCTGGATAATAATAATTGCAAAATTATTATTATAATAATGTAATCAAAAATGATTTCAAATTTTTGAATTCTTCAACCATATTTTTGCATTTGTTAAGCAGTCTCGACTATGTTGAAGGGACAATAATAATATACTCGATTTGACTATATATTGTATTTGAAAAACTTGAAAAATGTTTTACAAACAAGAATCACATTAATGTCATATGTAGAAAGCCATTTTATGACACTTTCAAGATTAGCGCGCATAAAATATGTTGTCAGATATAAAATCACAACTTTTATGCAAGACTTTTGAAATAATTCTTTGAAAATATACAATACATAAATATATGTTAATGTATTTCGAGACATTTGAATGGTTTTGACTGACTGAAATTGACTGGGAATTAAAAACGAATAACTTTTCCGACTCGAACTGGCATAAGTCAAAAATTGGCTTTGGATTTTGAAATGGAAATGTGGATTATAATTTTACAAGAAACAGAATAAACATAGTTTGGGAAATAAGCTAATTAATATCTTAAATTTCAACCGATATACTTAATAGAGTTTTTCAGCTTAAAATCTTCTGAAAACGAATCTTTTTTGTCCAATTTGCCCAATTTATTATTTTGAAACACTCAGTAACAGTTAAAAAAGAAGAAAATACTTGTACCAAAAACTATTCAATTATTTTGACACTTTCATAGCTGTGATTAGCTGGGAAGCATTTAGAAGGCATTTCACAGTTATATTTATTTCTTTTTACCTCACATCACAGCGCATTATTTTATTGTTTGTGTTGTTGCTCAATGTTTGATTGTGATTGTGATTATGATCCCGATTGATATTTAGATTTTCTTCCTGCTGCAGATGCTGATGATTATTATGATGATGAGGATGATGATGATGAGTGTTACTGTGCCTGTTACTGTTCGTTTGATTGTGTCCGTGAGTTGTGAGTTGTGAGTGTGAGTGTTGTTGTTGTTGTTGTTGTTGCTGATTTTGCTGCTGCTGATGATGATTTGCCGTCGCTAAATGCACTGAATGAAAGCCCGCTGTCATCTTCGCACTCACACTCGCACTCGCACTCGTATTCACACTCGCACTCGTATTCGCATTCGCACTCGCATTCACAGTCGTAGTAGATGCTTGATTCGTAGTCGCACTTTCTATTTCGGCCACACGCGCACTTCTTCTTGGCGCGAACATCTCACGCTAGAAACATCTCAGACGCAACTAAACAAACAGAACAGCACAAAACACCACAAAACAGAGCTGAACTGAACAGAACAGAACAGCACAGAACAGAAGAGGACACACAGCCGGGAACACAAAGAGAAGCTTTTGGGCAAAGTTTTCTAGCAACCCCACAGCCCGGGGGCGCTCTTCTTTCTAATTCAATTGAAATGAACGCCAAGGCGAACCGTAAAAGCGAAAGTAAAGCGCCACAAACAAAAAAAATATATATATAAAAAAAAATGTACAACAACAACAAAAAAAACATCCCTTTGAGCAGCTTACGCACTCCGGGAGCACATCCCAACGCATCAGAAGTCAACCCCAGAAAGTGCGTGCGGCATCCCCAAAAATGAACAAGGAATTAACTCAATGATTCACTCAATTTCGAGTGGAACTTTGAGTGTTTTCTTCTGGTTGTTGTTGTTGTGCGTCGTAAAAAGCCCCCTTTTTGCCTGACTAACTGACTAACTGACTAACTGATGAATGGACTCACTGACTGACTGACGCTATTGCGAATAGCTTTCCCCCGTGGGGGCATTTTTATCTCGGACGTCTGCCGGCTTTGTGCAAAAGTAAACAAACGCTTTTTGTTTTTGTGGAGACTTTTTTTCTTTCTCAGTTTCTGTTTCGGCTTGTTGCCGCAACATGCAAAATGTTGCTGAAGGCATTTATTTTTGGGAACAAATGTTGCCGCTGCTTCCGTAAGCAATCAATTTGAATTTGAAGTTGTGTGTTGATCTTTAATCAGCGTGACTCATTTGGTAGCTTTCTTTTCATAGCAAATTATGTGAAGCTCAAATCGAATCATCTACAATAATATTAAATTAAATTAAGAAAAGGATTAAGCTATACTCGATTGGAAATGTTTTAAAATTTATTTGTCAAGAAGGAAACGGATAATTAATTTGCCTGAAGCCTAACTGTAATTAACTAAAGAACAATTATTGGATTAATTGAACAAAAGCACAAGCCAAAAGTTAATGAAAATTATTGGAAAACTAGATTAAAATTCCATTATTCCACTTTTGATTCTTCTCTTTCTTTCCCAACTTTAATTGATTCAAGTTCCTTAAATACCTTAAAGAATATTTAACTTAAAACTAGATAACAGCTCCTTCGGCTGTCGAGTTTTTTTTCTGAATGTAGAATCACAAGAAGAGAGAATTTTTAAGCAAAACGATTGTAAGCGTTCACTTTAACAATGCCTTCATCCATTTATCTTCAAATTGACATATTATTTGAGGATTAACGTCAAATAAAGAAGATTTAGATAATGACTATTTTACTTCTGATTAATCAAAAGTCCCCACATCTCAAAAGTTCCTTTTAAGCACTTGGAATGCCTATAAAACCAAGACGAAAATGTCGAGAAATCTAGAACAGATTAAAGACACTTCTTTGAATAGAAATTCAGCTCAAGGCACATTTAAATTTGATAAAATTCTTTTTAGAAACGGAAAGATTAAGATTAAAAATGGTTAAACATTTGGGAATCTCCGCTGATTAGAACACTTTGGGTTGCTTTAATTTGAACTTACTTGGTCTGATCGACAACTGGCTGCATTGCCCAGCGTCCGCTGAGTGGTTCGTCCTTCATGGCTGTCATTGGTCCCCGCGGCTGATTCATGTCCGCCGCCGTGGGTGGCAGTGTGAACATTAATCCGCCCGCCGATCGGGGTCCCGCAGTGGGATACAGTTTCCGGCCCCATTCCATGCCCAGCTCGAGCGTTGGCCACGGCGAGGCCGAGCTGAAGCCCGGCACCGGCTCCTCGGAGCGCAGCTTGAAGCTTTCGGTGCTGGTCAGGGGCGCTGTGCTAGCGAAGTGATGATGCTGGTGGAGATCAGCGTACGGATATTCACTCACTTTCGTATAGTTGCTTGCCGCGGGCGTTGTTCCAATTGTGGCAGCCGTTGTGAATACTTTTGTTGTTGCCACACTCAACTATTTATTTGCTGTTGTTATTGATGTTTTTTTTTTTTTTATGTCTGGGTCACTATCGCGATCTCTCTGGAGAGCAAGAGAGACAGAGCGAGAGAGAGAGAGAGAGAGAGCACGATTACAATACAAATGCAGATACAGCTACAGCTGCCACTAAAGTTTAGCCCTTTAATTTTGATGGCAACGCACAAATCGACACTGAATTGTAATTGGGGGTTTTGTGTTTTCGGCCCGCTTTTTGATTTTTGTATTAAATATATGTATATGTATGCATTGTGTATTTGTGTGTGTGTATGTGGGTGTGAGTGTATGTGTGTAGGCCTCTGGTGTAAAGTGCCAATGCACCGCAGAGAATTTGGGATTTTCGTGCAAAAATTGGTCTGTCGCAAGACACACAAGTTGAAGCGTCGCGCGCTACCGTCCCGAGTGGCTGTTAAACCCCAACTGAATCCGACTACGCTGCCGTCCGATGCTGCTGCAAACTGCGAAAAGGCAACTGCGCAGCAGCCGCAGCGAGTGCAGCGCGAAACAGCGACGCTGGCAGCGCCGCCAAACGACCAACGAGAGTTGGAAACGAAACACAGGCGACAAAACCCGCGCAGGAGTGTGTGTGGTTGAGTGTATATGTGTGTGTGTGTGTTGGTGTGTGTGTGTGTGTGAGTAGTGTGAGGGTGCACAATAAGACATAACTGGCTAAGAACAACGAATGGAAATGCTAACCTATCGCTGGGAGTGGTGGTTTTTTCTTGTTTCTTTTGTTGTTGCTGTTGTTTTTTCTGCGCACAAGGGAACCGAACTGTCAGCAGAGCATCCACCAAACGAGGGCGCGAACGTCAGAGAGAGAGAGAGAGAGAGAGAGAGAGAAAAGCAGACACGAATAGAGCGAGACACAGCAAGAGCAACAGTAGCAGCAGAAGCAGTATCAGCAGCAGCAGAGCAATGCGAGTGAGAGGGAGACAACTGCGGGAACGCTGTGAATTGGCACAGTGTAAATTGGAGGTGCCTCCAAACTGGGTGCCACATAGAGCCATTGTTGCACAGTGCCAAGTCCAGGTCGGGCTTATCTATGGCCTATTCCCTGGCAGCGACTGCCAACAATTTTCCGAGGCCCAGCGAGGCAATGAGAGCAGCAACAGCAGCGCAGCAGCAACAGCAGCAACGGCAGCAAAAGCAGCAGCCAAAAAGTGTCAACGCCCCATACCAAAAAGCGAATGGAAAACCATTTGGGAATCGGAACAAAATGTCATTGTGTGCGCGTCTCTGATTGGCCAATGCCATTTCAATGGGACTTAATCCCGTCGGCCAAAGAGCGAACACACATATTGCTCGCGAGAGAGCAAGCGGTTGCTGCTCTTAGCACAGTGCGTCGGCAAAGCAGTGGAAACGAGCAGTGCAACAGCGAAACGAATGGAAAAGTGAAACGCTCAAAAGTTGTTTTGAATGCGCATCAAATTTAAATATTCAAATTATTGCTATTATTCTAAGCCATCAAAATTTCTAAAAAATTGACGAAAATGTTTTATCTGTTCTGTTATTTTATTGCATTCGTTTTTATTTTAGTTTTTGTATTTAGAGTTTACAAATAAGTTTTATTATTTTTTTAGTTTATTTATTTCATAGTTTCTATCAGATTGTTTCTTTAGTTTTTAAATTACTTTAAAAATCTAGTGTTTCTTATATATTTAACATTTACCATATAAATATAACGATTTATTGCTTATATCTTTGTTTCAAAAACAAAACTGAGACAAAGAATGAAATATTTTCCTGGATTTTCCACATTTTCATAAACAAGTTGTCAAACAAATTTCGAGTACCTACTCGTACTCGTACTCGTACTCGGAGTCCTCTACTTACCCCCGGATTAGCAACGAGCCGTGTCATGTTTAAAATTACCAAACATCAGCGAAACCGCCCACAAATTTTCACGCCTCATCAGGAAAAACAACAGGCAGTCAGTCAGTCAGTCAAAAAGTCAGTTGAGCAGGCAAACAATTTGCATTTTCCGCATTTGCGGTTTCTCACTATGCTCACTAGAGAGAGAGAGAGAGAGAGAGAGGGAGGCAGAGAAAGAGCGAGAGGGAGCTACATGCAGGTTAGTGAGAGCAAGTGAGAGTGAGAGAGACAGGGAGAGAGAGCGGGTTGCAAGTCAAAGAGTTTGTTTGCGCTTCTGTGAATTAATTTGAGGGGTGTTTTAATCTCATTAGGTTTTCTCATGCTTGCTATATATATATATATATATATATATATATATATATATATATATCTAGGAAAAGTCAATACTAAAAAATAGCTGCAAGTGCAGCAAATAGAAGAACTGAATAATATTCACATGTGGAAATACACTTACAAAAAAAGAGAAAACAAAAATACAACTAAATTTCACTTTAAATGAAAGCAACCGCTTTTTCCCTTGATATATGCTATCTGATATAGTAGTCCGATGTTGATGATTTTTATTAGAAATATTAGAAGTATAATAACATATCTAACTTATGACTTTCGACTGGATAAATTGGTAAATAACAAAGTTTTCCATACAAGAACTCATCTAAGCCATCATTCAACTATGGCTGCTTTTCATCATTTAATCACAAATATTCAAAGTCGAATTTGAGCGAAAAAGGGATGCCCTATTTTTCCACTGTGTGTGTAAATACATATTTGTTTTATGAGTGGTATTTACAAATTTTGAAGAAATCTAGTGACAGTCGAAATGTTTCCCAGTAGAATTGGGAACACGCGTGCCAAGAAGAAGTCGCTTGGCATTTTCAGAAGTACAAATACAATATTTACTGCTCCTCGCATCGAAAGGGCAACAAAAGATGTCCCCAGACATCGCTAATTAGCCAATTGGCTGGCTGGCTGGCTGGCAAAGTCAAAGTCGACCCCAAGAATAATTTGAATTTAGCGGCTATCAAAAACTAAAAACGAAAAACCCAAAAATGGAAAAGTATGCGGCACTCATTAACGCGACAGCAGCGTCGGCCACAGAACACAAATCTGTGCCGTGAACTCGACGGCGACTTGGATGCTCCCGAGCGAATAGTCATCCCAGTTGTGGGTCCAACTCCCAGCTCCCAGTTCCCAGCTCCCAACTCCCTCTCCCAACTCCCTCTGCAACGCGCAACCTGCAACGGACGCTCGTTCGATTAACCCCTTTTATCACGCGCTATTCTCCACGGGACTTTCTCTCTCCGACCCAATATTGTACCTACGCCCGGCAGCTGTCAGCTCTTGCCTCACAGCCCCCACCCCCCATCCACAGCCCCCTTTTCCAGTTCACAATGTTGTTTGTTTTGGCGGAGAACATTGAAAATCATTGGGAAAACAGCAGCAAATTTGAATTGTTTTCAATTGGATTACATTTGATGGCAGCAGCTAAATAATTTGACGGGCAACTTAATCCAAGGCACCCTCTCCCTCTCCCAGCAATTGGTACTCATGATGGACAATTAAATGCTGGCAGTGACTGTAACTGTAACTGTAACTGTGCCTGTAACTCAAACACAGCCTGTGACTTAAGGGATTAGCCAAGTTGTGTTGTCGAACAGCCCGAAAAGCGGCTACTTATTATTACAAATGCTGCGGATTGACTTTTAACCAAAACACAAACAGACAGGGACAACAACAGCAAGAAGGAAAGAGACGGAATGAATGACGGATGCTCAAGTGACAGAGATGACAATTTAAGGCTTAGTTTTTTCTCAACAATTAAACAATTAAAAATGCACAAAAGGGGTGTCAATTGGCAGAAGAAATTATATATAATAATATGAGAAACTTTTTGGCTTGCCAAGTTAATCGGGACAAACTCAAAAATGCAACATTATCAGCCTGCAATATAATTTATTATTCAAAGGAACAATTGGTTGGCATTTCATTCTTGTTTCCTTATTTAAAACAGCTTAAGATAATTATCTAATATTTTTTTTATATTATATTTAAATATGCTTTGTTTGCTTTGGCAAATGTGCTGTTAAATATTTTTAGCAGTAATAAAAACCAATAAGATTTGCCTTGTGTGAAGTGTGCCTTGAGGCAATCATTCGCTTTATAATTCCTTAAGACAAATAAAAAATGTATTTTTATTTATTTATTATTGTTTTCATACCTTGATTGCAATACAAATAATACTATTGCAAATGAAATTCATTGATTTAATTTATTTCATTTTGTAAATTTGATGAGATTCCACATGATTTGGCCAGACGCCATTTTCAGCAAAAACGTAGCCATGAATAATTTAGATGTACAAAGCAGACTCGCATGTAAATGCCCCATTTGTCAACCATAAAGGAAAAGGAAAAGGCAAAGGGAACCAGCCGAAAGGAATACTTTTGACTTATGCCATATGCAAGACATTCACAGAGTGCAAAAGCGGTGAAATGGAAATGGAAAATGTGGAAATTTGAGGCGCGAACATTTTAATTAGTTTCCTTTTATGCATTTTTCTCAAGTGTCCTTAGTGCTATGGGGATCCTAGCTGCAGACCAATATGCAAATTAGCTATGAGTAATGTGGAGGGAAGCAGCAGCAGTCGTCAAACATAAATCATTTTTAGTTTCCAGTCTTTTTCTCTGTTTGAGCCGAAGAATCTTTATTGGAGATTCAGTTGAGCAGTCCAAGTTCTTCAAAGTCATCATCATCTATTCATGGAATTTGTTTAAACACACTCACTCTCGTGTGTGTGTGTGTGTGTGTGTGTGTGTTTCTGTGTGTAGATTTGTGCTCTCTGCGGATTTGATGCCAGATGCCGTCGCTTCTTATTGTTTAACAATAAAAGTATGTTTGGATATGACAACATTTGACAGTTGCTTTGTCTGCCAGCCAAACAAAGACGGGCCGAAGACCACCAAAGTTTCGATGAGGCACAGATAGTAATGCGATAGTAGCAATGGAAAGTAGCAATGGAAAGTTGCACATACACTCAGAGAAATGGGCGATTCCAAGTGCCAGTACAACTGAGAGAGAGTTTGGG